AAAAAAAAAAAAAAAACAAAACAAACAAAAAAAAAAACAAATCTAGCCACCTCCCCTTACCTTCTCCCCCCCCACACACACTCCCAAATTACTCAGGATTTACTCAGGAAATCTTATCTATTTCTTCTTTTTAGGGGGATCCATGCATGTCTCTCTTAAGGTCCTCCTTGTTACCTAGCCCCTTGGAGGTTGTGGATGGTAACCTGGTTACCCTTTGCTTTACGTGTAATATCAATATCCACTTAGGAGTGAGTATGTACCATGTTTGTCTTTCTAGTTGATATGCCAGACTTTGTTGACTCTCCATAGGAGGCCTTACCCTCTCTGAGGAGTGGATGGGGGTTGGGGTGAGGGAAAGATAGGGGATGAGCAGGAGGAGGGGAGGGAGGGGGAATTTTGGTTAGTATGTAAAATGGAAAAAAAAACTTCTAAATTAAAAAAAAACAAATCTAAGTTCTTATAGTGGTCTGCAAAAGAATGGCCTCCATAGGCTCATGTATTTGAATGTGTAGTCACCAGGGAGTGATGCTACTTGAGAGAGTTAGGAGGTGTGGCTTTGTTGGAGGAAGTGTGTCACTGAGGGTAGGCTTTGAGGTTTCAAGGGCCCAAGCCAGGACTAGTGGCTCTCTCTTCTTGCTTCCTTCAGATCCTGATATAGAACTCTTAGCTACCTGTCTGACTCCATGCTACCATGCTCTCTTGCCTTCAGGATAATGGACTAAACCTCTAGAACTGTAAGCCAGCTCCAATTAAATGTTTTCCTTTATAAGAGTTTCTGTGATCATAGTGTCTCTTCATAGTAATGGAACACTGACCAAGACAGACTTCTCACATACTAGGCATGTGCTTTATTACTGAATCACATCCCCAGGCCAAAAGTACGAAATTTATTATGCTATTTTTTTTGAGGGGGGATTTTTGTGATCCTTTTTCCTCAACTTTAATGCTAGGATTATAGGTGTGTACCATTATGTCTTATGCCGGACGTTTACCCACCAATCCCACAGTTTCCCAGAGTTTTCTTGAGTGTGAGCAGCAGGAAATATTAGATAGAAGGACTTAGATTGTGGAGATAAACAGATAGAAAATAAAGGATAGCCTCAAGAGGGCCTGGAACCTATTCCAAAGGGCCCTGCCTGTCTCTGCCCCAGGGTATTTATAGAGATGCCAAGGGGTAGAGCAAAAGACCTCCCCTCCAGCACAGCCAAGTGCAGACCATCTCAGACACCCGTACTCAGGTCCATGGTCTTAATCATCCTCTCTATGCAGACCTGCTGGGTAAAGCCACAAGGAACCTGAAAACTGGCTCCCATAGGTCACCCTTTCTTAATATATATATAAAACAACTCGTTATTAAGAGTTCACAACAATCTCCATAGCTGTTACACCTCCCACTATGGGAGTAGAGGATGATAAAGATGGCATTTCTCTTTTGAATTAGGTTCAAGGTGACTACAGCAGTCTTAGCTGCCTCAAGCCCTTTCTAAACCAAAAACTTAATGCAATTGCAAACTTAAAGAATCCTTAGCTTCATCATTACCATTAACAGGTTAACATAAATATTGCTATACATAGTCACAATTCTCCCAATCTTACAACTCAAAGCAAACTCTTAACAGAACCTTTTGAATTAACATATATGGTGCTATATATAGTTAACAATTTTCTCAGTCTTACAACTTTAACTCTTAATAATAGAATCATTTGAATTTTCTTGCTAACAGAACATAGGAAAAACTTCTGATGTATTCACATCAAACTTAAATATTTCCTTAACTCCACAAAACCAGGGTGCATTAATATCAATAGGTTAAACATAATTTCTGCAAACATACATTCAATCTTAATTCACTCATAACTCCTCCTTTTCTTTATAATTTTTTAAAACAATCTCAAACCTAGTTAGAGGAACCCAAACTTACACAATTCCTATAAACGAATATTGAAAAGCAATATTCTCAATCTAACCATTAACACTTTTGGAAAACTTTTAGCAAAAGATACAAAAGCAGTTTCTTTTTTTAAAAGATTTATTTATTTATTATGTATACAGCATGTATGACTGCAGGCCAGAAGAGGGCACCAGATCTCATTACAGATGGTTGTGAGCCACCTTGTGGTTGCTGGGAATTGAACTCAGGACCTCTGGAAGAGCAGTCTGTGCTCTTAACCTCTGAGCCATCTCTCCAGCCCCAAAAGCAGTTTCTTAATAAAACTCTTTATTACTTTAATAGTCTTAGTATACTCCATTTGCATTTCTTACTAACAAAACATGACATTAATCCACTCAAACAAGAAAATATTTTTTAAATTGAATACACTAAGGAATATTACTTGTCCCCTTTCTTTATAATTTTTTAAACAAAATCTCAAACCTAATTAGAAAACACAAACTTTTCTGTTTAAACAGTTCCATTTGTAACACAAAACCAGTTCCATAAGTAATTCCATTTTTACATAAACAGTTCCATAAAACAATTCATGAATCACCAGTTCATAAAGCATATATGCATACACAAAATTGCATCTTGACTCTAGGTAGAAACAATAAATTTCTTCATTTAAACAGTTCCATTTTTAACCCAATTCAAGAAAACAGTTTCTATGTCATTACTATAAGTAACTCAAAGTATCCCATTGCAGTGAAATCACTATTGTTCATTTCATTTCTTAAGTCCCAAAATTCAAATAATAAATTCTGGCACACGCCTTCCAAATATGAAGAAATCCATAACAAAACTCTTTTTGTAGTTTTACCTCATTATTTTAAGTTCAAAAAGTTCAAAAAAAGTAAATTCTGGTATCAGGCTTTCACTTCCAAATATGAAGAGAAGTTTTACAACCAAAACTTTTTGCAGTTAACAATTTTAGTTCAAGCAAGTGTCTCTGCAAATTTTATTCTCAAGCCAGAGACCTTTTTAGGTACAGTAGTATTCTAAACCACACCGTTTTCGATGTTAGCTCAGGTTTTTCTGTGTTGCGTTGATTTTCCACGGATCTCAGCTGTGGATGCCTTGTTGTGCTGGTTCTGGCATCCGCCATTCTTAGCTTCTTAGCGGCTTCTGGAACTTTTGAAAACCGCTCAGACTGCTTACTTTGTAGTCTGCTAGGATACTACCTTCTGTGTTTCTGGTTCTTTCACCATATACATTAAGCATAAACTCACACTTAACATTTACACTCTTTTACAAACTCACATATAACATATCTTGCAAAACATTTAGACTCACATTCAACATTTACACTTTTTTTTACAAACTCACATACAACATATTAATATCTACTTATTTATCCTCCTTAAGGAAACTATAGAACTACTTTAGCAAATATATTTCTTTTTTTTCCTTTTATTTTATTTTACAATACCATTCAGTTCTACATATCAGCCACGGATTCCCTTGTTCTCCCCCACTCCTGACCCCCTCCCCTTCCCCCCAGCCTACCCTCCATTCCCACCTCCTCCAGGGCAAAGTCTTCCCCGAGAACTGAGATCAACCTGGTAGACTCAGTCCAGGCAGGTCCAGTCCCCTCCTCCCAGACTGAGCCGAGCGTCCCTGCATGAGCCCCAGGTTTCAAACAGCCAACTCATGCAATGAGCACAGGACCCAGTACCACTGCCTAGATGCCTCCCAAACAGATTAAGCCAATCAACTATCTCACCTATTCAGAGGTAGCAAATATATTTCTTATTACTTCTTATATACTTCTTATATTCATTCCATCTTCTTATTTCTTATTTAAACTTACATTTATAACTAGCATCTTTACTTCTTACAAGCTTATTACATGTCTTAAGACTACCTTAGATGCTTCTTGCAAGCTTATATTCTTAAAGGAACTCTATAAATCTATTTTTCAAACTTATATAGGCTACCATTAGCATATATTTAACTTAACAAACACCTAAAGATTTCTTAACACAGATATAACAAGACAGAATAATTTCTACAAACTCACATATCTTATTTTCATCTTTTTCTACTTCTTACTCTTAATTATTATCACTATCTCTATTAGAAAGATTCTCTTAACTAAACAGGAAGGACATACATCATTTCTAAAGTTTAGAATTTATAGTCAGCTTTGCTATACAACACTGGGATTTAGTGAGTGTTGTCGTTATAGAGTTGGATACTTGTTGCTAGGGGACTGTAACCTTCCCACGATGAAACCACACCTCAAAGATGCCAAGTTCTCTCAGCCGTTCTGGTACCTGCAGAGATGCACTGTCAGCGGTAAATGGTTTTTAACTAGAGGCTGTCCCTTCACCCAATTCATAATAGCTCCCTGTAACTAGAGTTTTCCTGCCTTGCCCACAGTCAGGACAAATCTTTGTCACCCACGAGTCCCACAGCTGCTCAGACCCAACCAAGTAAACACAGAAACTTATATTGCTTACAAACTGTATGGCTGTGGCAGGTTTCTTGCTAACTGTTCTTACAGCTTAAACTAATCTATTTCCATAAATCTATACCTTGCCACATGGATCATGGCTTACCAACATCTTCACATGCTGCTTGTCATGGCATCGGCTGGCAGTGACTCCTTCCACCTTCCTGTTCTTTCTTTTCTCCTCTCTGTTAGTCCCGCCTATACTTCCTGCCTAGCCACTGGCCAATCAGTGTTTTATTTATTGACCAATCAGAGTAATTTGACATATAGACCATCCCACAGCAGCTCCCCTAAGTGCTTCAATTCAGACAAACGTTTCTATTACAACAGTACTTTTGGTTTGTTCTACCAAAAAACTTCACTTCACGCTGAGGGTGAAATTACCGTATTTAGCTGCTGTAAAGCTCTTCGCCAAATACTGCACAGCTATTAGCTGACATAAAGTATTTTTCTAAAGGAGCTAGTGAAGCCAAAAGTGGCACAGGTCTGAACTCTATTTCCTCACTCTTTGCATTAACCAGTGACAAAACTTCAGAAATACTAATTGAGCCACTTTCATTCTGGTTCCTTTATAGGAATGTCATTGGAGCTGACCCTTCCTTAGTTCCACGCTCCTTACCAGATGCTCTGGTAACTACTGAGCTTCATTCTCCTCTTGTGAAAAAAATCAAACATGTCCTCAACCACATATTAACACAGGATCTGGACCCTTCCATAATCCTGAGCAGGGATCTTTCTATTTCATTTGAGCAAAAGTCGCTTGGGTGCCACTGTGCCAAAATTTATCTGCGGCAGACTGCTCACGGACATCCATATTCAAAAAGTTCAGAACAAAAAGAGCATGATTTTAATGTATTATGTGGCAATTGAGGGTAAAATTCTTCCTTTTTTATTTTTATTTTTTTGAGTTATATTTTAAGACTGCTGTGAGCCCTTTCTACAATACCTTGTCCCTGAGGATTATAAGGAATACCTGTTTTATGTACGATTTCCCATTGGGTACAAAATTGTTGAAATGCCTTACTACTATATCCAGAACCATTATCAGTTTTAATAATTTTTGGTAAACCCATATACGAAAAACACTTCAAGCAGTGCATAATGACATGTTTTGTAGCTTCCCCAGGTTGTGCACTAGCCATTAAAAATCCTGAATAAGTATCAATGGTCACATGTACATATTTTTAATTTGCCAATTCTGCAATATGAGTAACATCCATTTGCCATAGATGATTAGGAAGAAAACCTCGAGGGTTTACCCCTAAGTGAGAGACAGGAAAATATTTTGGACATACCCCACATTGTTTAACTATTTGAAGAGCTGCTTCTTTGGTAAAATTGAATTGCTTTCTTAAGCTTTTGCTATTTTGATGATAACGAGCATGTGACTGTTGAGCCATTTCCACTTGGGATAATGCTACTTTCTTTGTTAACTTATCAGCCATTGCATTACTCCTCAGCTAAAGGACCAGGAAGATAGGAGTGAGCTCTAATATGGCCCACAAAGCATGGCAGTGTAGATGTAACCAACTGTCTTGTTAAATAATAAGCACAGAACCAATGCAAAGAAGAAAGCCAAGAGATCAGAGCTAAGAGCCTTACCCTTCCTGCTGCAGCTAGCTTTTCTGCCCAGAGACCTCTTTGAAAGAGAGCAACTTCCTGTCTGTTTGACTTTATATAGACTTTCTGTTCTTTTGTGAATAGCATCTTGAATTTGTAGTTCCAATATTTTTACCAAAACTGTTACTATTCAAAGGAGTCAAGAACATAGATGTTCTTTCATGAAACATATTCTTCATTAGCTTACTCTGAGAAAAAGCATTTTCAGCATTTAGTATTTTTACTTCATTAGCTTTAACTCCTGGTGTTATTATTAGCAGCTGTGATATTTAGCATTGATTTCTTCTAAGGAACTTTCAGGTGAAGCAACTCTTTTGTAAGACAGATTTTTCTGAAGTTTGTTTCCCATCTATAAAGCAGTCATTTCTTTTTTGAATGCCTGTTTTCTTGTCTCATTAGATTTGCAAAGGAATTATTCATTCCAGGCAGTTTGTTCAAAAGGCAAAGAACTTTTTTTAATTTCAACATTAAGTTTCTTCATATCTAAAACAACATTCAGTGTATAAACTGCTTTCCCTTGTTTTAAGGATTTTAAAATGGCTTGTTTGCTCATACAGGTAGATTTGTCTGATCGGTGCTTAAGAGGTAAGATTAAGCTTTCTAGCATTGCTTTGAGAAGAAACTTCATTCTGAGCTGAAAAGTTTTTGGACAGTATCGCCATCTTTAGCTGAAAACTACATTTCCCAGAATGCATTTCTCTCCATCAGCTCACTGTTAAGAGCTAGCTTATGAACAATATTTCCCATAGTTTTTTTGGGTCTGAGAGTCAACTTCTAAGTTCTTTTACTGGACTTGCTTTGAAATTCTTGCCCAGGAGGCTTGAACTAAGCTTGAGTTTTCAATTATGGGACACTGGGAGATTTCTATTCTCTCCTCAGCTGGCTTTAACAGGTGTTTCTCCTTCATTTGACACTGGCCCTGGATTAGAATTGTACCTGACTCATTAGTGCAAATTGAGGTGGGCAATTTCTGATAGCAACTTTCCTCGGGGCTTGTGCTTGCCTTAGCCAGTCAGTGAAAAACCAAAACATTTACAACAGCTTTTCCATAGCTCCTTCAGAGAGATTTTTCTCCCACTGATTTTATTCTCGTTTTGCTTGATCCTTTCCCCACAGATGTACAGCTTCAGATATCCCAGGCTGCTCTGTTCCTCTGCTAGCTGCCTTTGGAGGTAGGGGATCCCCCCCACACACACACACACACGCAAATCTGCTTCAAACTCTGGCAACTTTGTCAGGTCATGCGTTTTCTGGGGAGGAATCTGTCCCTTCACCATTTCTTCAGAGTCAGTTCCCAGTTTGGTCTGTTTATCCCCTCTGCCCCAGAAAGTTTTTGACACTACAGTGGCGGCTTTCCCTGCTACTGAAGGTAGGGGCTTTTTGTCCATTTCTGTTTTCAGGGTCTGTGTGGTTTGCTTACAGACTGAAAAATCTAACAATGGAGGTTTTTTGCCATTTCTAAGCTCCCATTAGGACAGATGTTTTGCCTCATCAGGCCTTCACCTGGCCCAGTCCCCCAGTGGGTTGCATTTTGTTTGTCTGGGTACTCAAGGACAGAGCTTATGCCAGAGGCAATCATCCCTCAGGGCTACACTCCTTCATCTCATCAGG